AAAGGTCGCCCTGGGGGGCCCCCCCCCCCCGAGCGGTTTTACCCGTGTCACCCAGGAGGTGGGTTGAAGCCCCTTGCCGTGACGCCAGTGCGGTTCCCACGCGGCTGCCCCGTTCCTAGGGCAGGGGCCTTCAGCTGTGGGTGGGTTTACGGCCCCGAGGAAGGAATTGGAGTGAAAAGGGCCGGTCCTGCATCGGGAGCGAAGGCCGGCGAGGAGCTGGTGTCGCCCGGCTGTACGCGGCGGGACGGGACGGGACAGGACGTTGGTAGACGGCCGTTAAGGGCGATGATGCCAGTGGCCTTGCTCTTCCAGAGCTGAAGTAGGCCGGCCAAGGCCGAGTTCTCGGTTCCTGGTAGAAACCTGGCCTGGGCCTTGGCTTTCTCGGCCCTGCAAATTAGATATGAAGGTAGTAATCAAGTTTCGGTGTCATTCAAGCACCATCGAAGCTTTTTTTTTTTTCTTCTCTTTTTTAATAAATTAAGAAAATGTTGTAAAACTTGTCACTGGATTTCAGCTGGTGGTTTTTCATCTACTGCATAGTTTTGCTCCCAGTTCTCCTTTGGAAAAAATTGATAGTAATTACACTAGCTGAACTTAAGCTATTACACGTTGAGCATATAGCAAAAAGGATGGCTCCAAAAGCAGCGTTCTCCTTCCCTAGGCATGGCTCCCGTGACATTGCTTGCGCCTCCTAATCCGTGTGTTCTCGTGCTTTAGCTGTGGTAGGGCTGCTGAGGATGCCGTTCAGGTATAGGCTGTGTGACAGCAGTGCTCAGATTCGTCCGCTAAGTAGTAGCATTGCTTACTGACACCTCTCTAAATCTGCTACCTTGTTATCTTTTTCTGTCCTCTTCCCCCCCCCCCCCCCCCCCCCGGTCAGTCTCTGGCTGTTATGAAAACCAGAATGTGAACTGAAAGCAGAGATGTCTGAGTTTGTAGAGAAACTGGAACAATAGCTGCGAGAGGTGTGAGCTGCCCTGCTCCTATCAGTAAGGTGTTAACTCAGATACCTTGGTGTTTTAAATGTCATCATTGTTAACTGCTTCTTGGCTCACATATGAGAAAAAAGAGGAAGAATCACAGTTTAGTAAATTGTTACCACGGCTGATGCTTCAGTTTGTGGCCACATATATTCTTGTGGCTTTGCCAGGCAGCAGGGAGTGAAGATCAAGGAGCCCTCCAAAGCTCAGGATGTGGAAGCTGTGAATTACAACATGGTTTCTGTGGGAGGAGCCTCTGTGGTAGTCACTGTTTGGGAAAGAGCTGTGGCCATGTTGTTAGGTGATTGCATCCAGTAAATGAATTGATAGATGAGTCCTTTGACCAAATTTTGTGTTATACTACTTTATTGTATATGTCTTAGTAGTGAATGTGCTGTAGTCCAGCTTTGAAATTGTTTTCTACTTCCAAAACTTTCTTTGTAGAATTCTGGGTGCAGTAGTAGAGGTAACGGGTTTTTAGAAAGCTCATTTGCTTTATAAAATGTGTTTGATTACAGCTGTTATTTACAGATGGTGATGTATGGATCCCTTTTCAAAGTTTCATGAAAGCTTAAAGAGAAAAGTAAGGTTATTGACAGTAATTAAAATACACCATACAGGTTTTGGCACCTTCCCCTGGCCATCTTTAGGGATCTAAAAAACAAGGGAATTGAAGGCTTATTTCATAGTCCTTTTCTTAAGCTATTTGAAATGGCTGTTTCTGACTATCTTGTGGTTGTGTGAAAATCTAGGTAGTTAAATACAGCAGTACATCAGTGAGAGAATTGGGCTTGCACCCAAATGAACTTGGGTGTGACTTGGGTTGTAAATGGCATGGGCAGTAAGACAGGATTGGAACAATATCCTGAAAGGAAGGAAGTTATTTTATAGCTGGAAAAGAAAGAAAAAAAATAATGGTAGGCAGAAATAATGGTGTTGAACTTAAAGGGGAAAAATATATAAGTAAAAGAAAGAACAGTCTCACCTTGTTAATTTAGCTGCTCTTAGATAACGCTGGTGACTAGAAGCTTAATATACCACCACCAAGAAGGGAGCTGGATCAGAATGACCTTTGTGATACTCTTAATGTCTTTGATCCATATTGGGAACCTGAAGGGAAGGGATCATTGTGATTTCCTGAAATTGCTTGATAGCATGTTTTAGAGAACTGCTCTGGGAAAAAGAGGTTAAAAAAAAAGGGGGGGGAGGGAGTGGTGTACTGGGACGCTGTGAAGAATTTTAGAATACTGAAGTGTCTGAAAGGATTCTTGAGAGCTGAAAATCTAGAATAACCTCTGCAGTCCTTGTGTTAATGCAACCTTTTTCTGTGCCAGAACACCTCATTCCCTGTAACTTTTGAAGAGTCTATTGATCACTGATGTGTTCTGATCATATCTAAGATTTTTAGGCCTTCATTAATTTATATTGTATGTACTGATTTCTGATTAAAACCATAGGTGCAGAAGTTATAGGTGAGTGAGGTCCAGAAACCTCATCTACAATTATCAGAAGAGATTTGGGTTTTTTTGTTTGTTTGTTTGTTTTCCCCTTCTAGGTTGCTCATACCCTGAGTTTTCTGTATCTGGCAGGTCTGTCATACCTGAACTGTAGTTCAGGCTAGGTTTTAATGAACCTGCGTTGTTTTCAGCAGTAAGTATTAAGCCCTGGTCTGTAATTAGTCCTTTAGGCCCTGTAAGTGGCTTTGCTATGTGATCGAAAGTGTAAAGATCTACCTGTGTCAGAGATCTTCAGAAGTAACTTCAGGCTTGGCCATACCTGTTATTCTGTAGATATATGGGCAGTTGCAATGCGCATGTAGTTAACAAACACGGATGCTTTGCTTGCTCTGCTTTTCCTTTTCTTTCTAGATATTACAGACTTGCTGTAATATAGCCATTGTTCGTTTCTAGCAAACAGCCTTGTCGGTATTCTCGTAATCCAGTACTGCCATATTGCAAGAACACATGAGCCCCAAAGCAAAATGTAAGATAACAAATTCAGCCAGTGAAAAAGGTGAAAATTGACTTGGAGGTGATGATAGAATGGTGAGAAGTTAAAGCTTTGGAAATTTTCCCTGGTGTTGTCATCCCTGTACTCCATCTTAATTTAAAATGATGTGAGTATTGGATAGAAAAATCTCAAAATCTGTAACTTTTAAAGTAGAAAATATATTTAGTCATATATTTAAAGAAAAAATTATTATTGCTGCATAAAGAAACTGCACTGATCAGCCTCTTTTGTTTCTGAATTAGAATTTCAGAATATCACATATGTTACATCACTTGGATTATATTGCTTTTTATGTTGTCCTTTTATAATTTAAAATCTTAGTGGAAAACAAAGTCCTTAAGACTGCAGTTCTGCAAACAGCTATGTGCAAATGAAGTTAACAAGCTCAGTAGCGTTTCACATACAGATGTTTGGTCCTGCTCTGTCATCAGTAAGTTCACATTGGATATTTCTAACTGATAGCACCCATTACCTTTGTTTTTGTGGGACTGAGGTTAGAAACCAGTTTGCTGAAAACTATTTGTCTCTCTGGCCCCATGAACCTCTTGACAGTAGGGGCATATGAGCCCATCACAGGTTAACGGATTGGGTACTTAAGTATTAGATGTTAAGAAGCATTCAGATATGCGTTATTTTTAATTATGATTGTAGGAAAGCCTTCAATTTTAGAAGCATCTGGTTTTTTCCCCTCAAATGACTTTAATGGATCTGTCTCTAGGTGCATTTGATTCAATGTGTGATTCAGTATTTTAGAAAAGAGGTTTTAAGTAGTTGACAGAATATTCAATGCTGGAAACTTTTTTTGGTAAATATGATGATGCGCATATATGCACGAGTTAGTGTTAATTCATGTAAGGTTGGTAACAATTTTATCAGTGTTAAGCAGATAAGCTAAGAATACAGAAGATGAAAAATTTTGGCTGCATTCCTTCTTTTGCTGGAGGAGTAGTAACATATAATTAACTTTGCTCATTCAAAACACTTTTACAAGAATACTAAAATAAATTGAAGTGTTTTATTTTAAAAAATGAGCGTTTAGAGCCAATAGTCTGATTATGAAAGAAATGATTGCCGTTAAGCCTGCAATTAACGCTGTGTTGCTACTTCTGTTTCTAATAAAACTATACTTTTCAGTGAGTTTCATAATCACAGCAGAGAGTTTTAAAACAAAACTTTGGGATGAAATGGAGGGGATTTATACACAGAAATACTTTTAAAGTGATATAAAAAGTAGCGAAATCTCTGAATCTAATGCACTTTAAATAACTTAAATAGCTGTGAGGTTATTATTCGTTATCTATCCCATCATAACAACTTCAAATGTTTACACTTTATATCTGCATATGGAGAAAAGGAGAGAATGGCTGATAAACTTAAGAAAGTAGGATGGTCACAGATGAAGGCAGGATGTTCCTTTGCAGGAAAACAACTGTGTTACAGCTTTGTAGAATGATATTTTCTTTAAACATAGTGCCAGTTAAAGAATGGGAATTCTGTGTGTGTGTTTTAGGTTTTTTTCCTTCCCTTACCTATAATAATTCTGTTTTTTATTTCAGCTGCTGAAAGCTTCATTAATACTTTTTAAGTTCTATTTCTTAGTTTTCTAAGATGCTTTTTTTATTGTAACCATCCTCTGACAACTGCTTGTCTTAGATGCCAGCGGGTAGGGAAAAAGAATAGTAAGATGTAATTTGTTTTTTTTTAAAGTCACCTTTATACCATGACATTTCTGAACTGAGGCTTAGGTTTTAAAATTCTAATGTTTTGAAGAGTGTTACATCATTAACTTTGGTTCTTGCACCTCAGTTGAACCCTCTCTTTAGCATTTTTTGCTTGTAAATAACATAGCTGAAATACAAAGATTGATATAACTGAGACTTCAAGAAAAATAGGAAATAGTGTAACAGATGACAGTATAAATATTAAAATCTAGTGTTCATTGAAACTTTCCCTGTTCTTCATTTGTCCTGTGTTACTTAATGAAACATCTAAAATGTTTAAAGTACTGCTTGGGTCTTTTTTTTAGTATGGATAAATAAAACGTGCTAAGAAAATCCAAATTACAAGT